TTAGAAAATGAGGAAAGAAAATGCAAGTGATGGATTGGCTGAGGCAAGTGTTTTGCACTCTTCTTAAGATGAATTTTTCTCGTATCGGTGCTAACGATTTTTTGACAATATCTCTCAAGATACAACGACTACGTCAAGTCATAAGAGCACTCCAAATAACTTTGACAAACGAACTCTAACGAAATTCTCTCTCTATTATAACCATGATTTGAATGCAATATATAATTACTTCTATAAAGTACTTGATACAACATGACATGAAATGAATAATTTGGAATTACAAATGAACTTCCAAGGGGTCTTATATATAGAAGTTGAAAGGTTGTGAGTGAAAGGACACACTCCAAATTCATCATTTTTCATGAAAAGTTGCAACCCAATTGTCGCTAGATTCTCGCAATTCGGTATTTTTCATGAAAAGTTGCAACCTACTTTCGCTAACTTTTCGCTGACCCATCACATAAGTGACGATCTTACCTGCTAAATTTCGATTTCCTTCAAATATTGAACCAAATTTCTCATTCATACCAATTTCCAACATTATTTCCATGCTTATTAAACCTTGTTCTTTGGGTCCACCTCTTTTGGCAGTAAGTTAGACGGGGGCGATGTCATGCTCCTTAGCATGTTTGGGTGGATTTTTTCATTCTTATCCGCACGAGAGAAGAAGTTTCGTGGGTGGATTTTTTCATTCTTATCCGCACGAGAGAAGAAGTTTCACGCTTACTATACAAATCAAAGTCTTGTTCTTTCAATCTACCTTTTCTGACAGCAGGCTTGATGTGGGCATGTTTAGAGTGACTTACTCTCTCATCCTAATAAACATGAAAGAAGCCACCTCAAATGACCGTCGAGTCGAATAAGATTCTCGGTCCGATCTATATTTACATCTACAACACATGGTAAGTAAATTAAGAGGATTAAAAATGCGAAAATATAAGGAATTCTTGAATCCCACATCGATATGATTTACTAAATGTAAAGATTAATAATAAATGAATAGAAAGGATTGAAAAAAATAATAATTGAGTGATTACTAATTGAGCAATGCTACTCATATAGAAATTATTGTACAGAACTCTTACAGAATACACACATGCAGAGTGGGTGGATCATTTTTTGCAATATTTTAATTCACCCCATCGTAGACACATTTATAAGAATTCTGAAATGTTTTTCTATACAATAAGCATTAACCTTACTAATTAGTGGAGTGATGAATTTCCGAAATGGATGGAGACCTATATGCAATTTAATAATAGTTGTTCTATTAAATTATGAATATACTTTCAAAATAAATAAACTATTGAATATCTTTATAATTACTTTTTATTATATCAAATGTTTATGTTTGTTTATCCAAGCAGATTTTAAAAAAAATGCACGGATATCCCATTCCTTAGTCAGGACCAGGGCCTCCTTGTGAGCCATTATTATAGTGTAAACATATAGCTCCCATAATTCCACGCTATAACGAGAGAAATAGTAATTTTTTTGAAAAATGTGTGATTAAAAAAGAAAATTTTTTTATTTATTTATTTACATGCATCATTATTTTACTTAAAAATGTGTGATTAATAAGAAGAGAGAAAATATAAATTATAGCTTGAGCCGAGACGCATTTTCTCGATGCGCTCAATGGAGACTTAAATAAATAAGTTTATTTTACTTATTTTAAAATCAACCTAAATATGATACAAGTATAATTATTTGATTCAAATCAAATTTAGGTATTTGTTTTATATTCATTGATTGATATTCTTAACTACGGGGTAGATCTTATGGCCTTAAAATCTTTGCTTTTAATTAAAGTATAATTTTAAGAGAAATTTTCACATAATATTTATTTAAGAAAGTAGGCATCAACGTATACTGCGACTCTTGATAATTAAGAAAATTCAAGAAATTTAATCAATGAAATGATTCAACCATATATAATCCTAACACCAATTCGTATTATTAATATAGTAAAATTTTAAAGTTTAAAACAAAAAATATTGTTAATCTAATTTTCCTTTTTATTTGGACCGCTTACGCAAGTCTAACCATGTATACATCCTTGGTTCATAAACAAAGCATCTTGACCGTATCCAAGGAAAATTGCCGAGCTTGTGTAATTTGTTAACAAGGAAAATATGCCCATTAAGAAAACTCTATTGAAATTAAGTAAGGGTTCGTTTGATTACAAGAATGAAATTTGGGAGGTTAGAAATAAATTTTAGGAAATTGAATTGTCCATAACTTGTTTTACTGGGGGTTGTCAATTAAGAGCCTGTTTGGGAGTGATTTTGAGAATTGATTTTTTGACCTTTAGGAGAAAAGTGGGGTCCACCTGTGAGAGAAGAAGTCAAATATGACGGCTGGAATAGTGAAATAACGGTCAAAAAATCAATTTATTGGGTGAAAAAATCGGGCCCAAACAAGCTCTAAATGTGTTTGATTGATATAATTTTTCACTTGAAAAATGTTGAAATTTTCTATCTTTTGGTGTTTATTTGATTTTGTTTTTCATGAAAATCAATTAAATGAATATAATTTGTTACAATTGTTAATAGAATTTGTTCCAATTTTTATAAAAAAAAAAAAAGTTGGAAAACAAATTTTCACCAAAACCAAAGGAATTGTTTTCCACCAATTCAAGGAAAAGAGGTCCCCTGTGCGGGGAGGGATGAATTCCATGAAAAATTCTTGCAATTAAACAACCGAAAAGATGGAAAAATGAAAATGGAAAATTTTCCATGTAAAATGCCCCCTATCAAACAGCCCTAAGGCCGTGTCCTGGAAATCGTCTAAGCAAACATGTATTGCTCGATCCACGATGGAGTCTGAGTTTATTGCGTTAGACAAAGCCGGTGAAGAAGCAGAATGGCTTCGTAATTTTCTTGAAGAAATTCCATGTTGGGAAAAGCCGGTTTCTGCGATTAATATACATTGCGATAATCAGG